TATACCACATCTTGTGGAATACATGACAATTTTAAACTTCCTGCTGCGGTTGAGTCCTTGTATCACTGGTAGATTCACATTTCCATATGTTCTTTGTTTTATGCTATATTCTGTTGGATTTTGTCTTGTGTGGTGATATATCATTCACAGTTACTCTGAAATATCATTATCAGCTCTCTCTATCTATCTGTCTATCTATTTAGAATGTTGAAGTTTAGTTTTTTTCTAGACTTATTCTCAAATATCCATTCTGAAACTCAGGAACTGTTTTGATGGGTCTGTCTAGTGTCCTACCCTGCTGGGATATTTTGGGACACAAAACCCAATGTCCTAGCTTATTTGTCTGTGATCTGTCTGAGCAAAGTATACATCTCATTCAGGCACCATTTCTTTTCTGTGACAGGTGGGAAGTGAGGTCTGCGTAGGCACATTGCATTCCAATTTAGAGGCAAAATGTGAATGAAGAGAAAGAAATGAGAATAATAATGTAGATAGATTTGTAGAACTTAAGCAGATTCCAAAAAACTTAGAACAACATCACTGTTACGTTTCATAAATAGGCTTTTTGCCATTTCCACTCACTGTCAATTTCCTTTTTAGGTTTGATGGTCATTAGCACTTTGTATAGCACTAGTCATCATCCTGTCCAGCTATTCCAGAAGATTCATATTCTGTTTCTGTTGAAAACCTACAGAAAAATTATTGCTCCCATGAAGTGGAATTTCACTTCTCTCTAAGATGTAAAATATGAAGAAAAGGTACTGATGTTAAAATTCTGAATTAATGGGGGTTTTTAATTTAAAAAAAAAAAAAAAGGAAACAGAAAAGCCAATTAAGCAATCAGTAAAAGTTAAGAAATTTCTAACATGGAGAAGATAAGGTTAGTAGGGCTAATTCTCATGTGGCCTGTGACAGTGATGTATGTCAGAAGTACTCCCAGATAGAAAGGCAAAGGAAAAAAAAATAAGAGAATAGTAATAAGGAAACACAACAAGCTGCAAAGCATCATAAATTACTGCTGTGATAAAGGGGGGAAATATTTGAGACTGCTAAAATATTTTCACTTTTACCAGCTATGTATTATCTCTGCCTACTGGACTATGGACAGCTACTTACTACGGTATAACTTCTTTCACTCCCCAAAATCCATTCTAAATAACTATGTATTTGTCCCACACACGTCTCTGTTGTGACACCCAGAAAGAAAACAATGAAAACAGAATGGCGCAGTATATCAACACTTTTTTCATAATCTCAAGAGATTTCCTCTCTTTGCAGAAACTCCCAAATTGCTTCAAGAAATGGGAAAAAGAATGATAAAGAAAGAAGTATCTTCTCCATAACGTGTCCCTGGGTCTTGCCATAGACATATTTCCTCAGTGAAGGAGGTATTCCATAATGCATACTGGATCCCCATTGCCAAGCTGTTTCCCACAGCACCGGTTCTAGAGATGCAGAATTAAAAATAAATGAGTCATAGAGGCTAAATTGGGGGATCTGGGACTGATTTTCAGTTCCTGACCTCCTTTTAGTGTGAGACCTAAGTGTGCATTATCCTACAGCCTCCTTAGATTCAAATAGAAGGAAAATCAAAAAGTAAACACAGGCGGGAACTGCGATGTACACAAAAGCTCTCCCTATCCAGAGGATCAGGGACCAGGGATGCAGTAAAATATGCATGATCCACAGTTAAAATGCAACCAAAAAACTGAAAAATCTTAGTTAATTTCTAAATAAATAAAGGCCATGAAATCCTCCACCTTATGAATGATACTGCTAAGGAATCTTGCACCAGAAGAAACAGCACATTCCAGAAAGCAAATATTCCTACAAGAAATAAAAATCTACATTTGTATTATTTGGCTTGTAAAAGCTTCTATATATGTGGAGGAGAATAATTTCCTCTTGCTGGATAATTATCCTAATTAAAGTGTGTAGAAATACAAATGGGACCAAATGCACCGTAGTATCTTTTAAGAATACAGACATGAAAATCATCAACTTGTTCTCAATGTGAACTATCCAGTGATATGACTCACTTTATGATTCATGCAGTGCTTATTATGTAAGGTTGTTTATAGTCTCTTCCAAACCTTTTACTTTGCCTCCACCATTAAAATAACTTCTACATTTTATTCTCTAAGATATTCTAGTTGGATGGAGCCATTAAAAATAACACACTTAATCTCTCATTTTTTGTTTCTTTATGTAGTGGTAGACTAATACAAAATATATATGGAGAGATGTTGTATTGACCCAAAAGCTCTCTGTTCCCAAGCAAATTGCCTAATCATTTGCCAATGGTACAATCTATTCATTTCATGCAACTCTTACATTTGTGACTGTATAGTGACCCATCTTAAAATAGAGGATATGGTGGCACCTTCTCCCAGAATACCTTATAGTCTAATGATTAAGACATTTCCCATAGTTGAGGGAAGTTGAATTTTTGGAGGAAAACAGAACCTAGGTTTCACATTTCTGAGCACAGGACCGTAGCAGTTTTCTGTTATTCAACTGATGGATACCAACTCTGTCTACCTTTGATAAATGCACATGTTCAGTTCAGTGCCTACTGAAGGACACTAGTCAAAATTGAACATTTCTTTTGGCTAGCCCTAGGCAGTGCTTCATTGAACACACAGACTTTTTGTCTTATGCTTCGGAATGCAGCTTACAAGGTGTCATGCATTTCACATGCTCAAATACTAAGTCAAGCTAGTTATCCTTTTAAGCAAAAGATAAAATTAGTATTTCCAAAGAAAAAATAACTCCATCCTAAAATCAGTATCCAAAACAACTCAGAGAAATCAGTCTTTGTAAAAACTCTTTTCCTTTTTAGCCATCTAATATTAACTTGCATGATTTTTTTTTGTTTTGGTGGTTTGGTTTTTTTTTAATGAATGACAATATCTAATTTACATGATCCAGATCTTCAGTCAAAATCTAAACACCATACCCAATCTCAAACATTAAACCAAAAATAATTAGAAGACAATAACGATAAACAAGATCCAGTATCTTTTCTGTTATATGAGATATGGGAGAGAGATGATTTAAGCTTGTTCATAACCTCAGGCCAATCTGGTCAAAATCAGTTTGCAGACTGTTCAGTACTCATTTGTCTGTGCTCAAATTTTTTTTGTTGTTACTTTTGGTTTCTAAATTGCAATATTATTAGTGTTCTATTGACTATATTCAGATACCTTTCTCATGAATGAATTTGGGTAAAACTGGCTTGTGTTTGCTTAGTTGCTGCTTTCCTCGCTAAATTCTGACTGTGGTGTCTTGTCCCTTATTTATTTACTGTGTCAATCATGTCCTTATTTTACATCATCTCACAACTATTTACAGTATTCACCAACAGTAATCAAGAGCATGATCAAATCTGGATCTCTTTGTTTCAAAATTGTTGTGGTTGTTCATTAAAAGAGAGGGCTGAGAAAGAATCCAGTATGTGATTCTCTCAATTAAGGAAAACGGAGTCTTGAGAGGTAAAATGGTTTTACTTTGGCTTTATCCTAGCACAAAGAGATTGTAATTTTCTTACAAGCAACAAATACAGTTGTTTATGCATTAAATAGATATTTTATTTACACTTATAATTCTGAAGGATTGTTTCATTGCAGATTTATGCACATGATGTAGAATATAGCTTTCATTCCAGCTATTAACATTTTTCACAGTTGCCTTTGACCAAAAAGATAATATCTCTTTTCCTACAGACTTGACTCATTTTTAACGTAATGTATGATATTTGTCACTACTTACACACAAATAAAGGATTTAGGTACGGAATATGATCTTGTGTTATATTGCATCAGTTGTACCTTTAAGCTGCAACATTAGATTACACCATATAGTTTATTGAATTTTTTTTTATGTTAAAAAACAAAAATATGTACAGATCAACTTGGGAATAAGGAAAAAAAGGGTATTATTTGGTTTTAATTCTTATAGTTAAAATAGGTTATTTTTTATATATTTATGTATATATAAAAAGTATATTTTGTTTAAGCCTTTTGATTTTTTTTAATGTTTTTGTTTTAAACCAATACACTTGTTATAGATATTCCTGCAATCTTTTCATGAAGTCACTGTAATACCATTAAGCACATTAAGTAGTGGTTTCCCCACAACAAATGTCCTGCCATTTCATTTTCCTATCATCATTAATTTCACAGGTATTTGGTACAAAGATAATAGATTGCAACTCTTTTAGTCTATTCCATTTAACAGACAAAATATTTATCTCATAGATGGTTCTGTTCATTCTTTCTATCTGTCCTGAACACAGATTTTTGTTTTATTCTGAACCCTGTCTGACAACATTTTCATTAAAAGAAAAAAAAATCTTGTAAAGCAGTTTTCTGAGTCAGTTACAGTTTTGCAAGTAAACCCCAATGGAAGATCACTGTTTTACCAGTATGTGAGCTGTTCCTATTGTTCGTATTTGAAAAGTTTCTGTCCATTGTGGAGGGTAGGAAGAAAAAGGAAAAAACAAGTAGTTAAAAAACTACTAGGTACTTAGCTGATTTTCTGGTTATGATGAGGGAGGGCCCAGAAAAAGCGTATTTGTAACAGTGACCTTGGATGATTTTTCATTGAGTTCTAAAGTAATCATTCTTTTTGCTCCTCATGGCTGGTCTCTGTATGAAGTGAGGTAAACCCTCAAAATTGTCTCATATGATTCTTTTTGCGTTCATCGCTGTCCTTTTTATGCAAAATATTTTTGTTGATTTTTTATTCTCTCACGTTGTACTGGAGGTACTTCTTAATTTACATTAATTCTTCTAAATTAGCTCCAGCAGTACCTTATTTTCTTTGCACGTGAGCAAGCACCTGTCTTTTGCTAAAGTTAATTTTGTTTCATAGGATTTTAAAGGAGACTTCTATGGCAATAGGTTTTTTTCTGCCCATAGCAGAAGAGTTTCTTTCTTTTTTATTATTACTGCAGCAATATTTTCAATGTATCAGACAAGCAGAACAGATGAACAGATTACCACTGTGGTTATTCATGAAGAAAACCAATGGAAGGTATAATAGTTTTGTGGTGGTGTTTTTTTTAATTTGTAGTTCTACAAATTTCTGGATACAAGAGGTATGTACTTTCCACTTTATTGAAAACAGAGTAGGACAGGACATAAAATAAGAAAAAGGAAATTTTTCTAGTGTTGCTTTGTGAGCAAGCTTGATGTTTTAATATTATGGATAATTGTGTGTCTGAAAAACAATCCAACCTTGGTATATTCATTAAAATCACAACTTTTAAATTTTTTTAGAAATTTTATTTCAGCCTGAACTTTTCTCTGCAGAAACAATATGGGAAAGAAATCTTGCAAGTTGTGGATATTTTAAACCATGCCTCAGTATCTTTTACTTCTTTGGAGCAGAAAACTCCTATTGACCTGTGAAGAGAAACCTAGGTAACCTTGATAGTTCTGCATCCATGCAGTGCAAACTTTTCTCTGGGAAAAGGAGAAAGTAAGCAAAGAAAAAATTTAATCTGTCATAATTTAGAAGTATAAAATCATCTATTTAAGCCTGAGGTAGTTATCTTAAACTCTCTGTGTAGTCAATAGAAATAGACACCTTCAGAATACAGCTCATCTCATTTTATTTACCTATAATAGATTAAAAGAGTCTCTCCCAGGAGATGCCTGCTTTCTTCATTGCCTATAAGGAATTATGAAGTGCCTAACTAAGATTCAGACATCTAATTCTTAGGTGCTTAAATTGGTAAAATGAAATAAAGAATAGGATTTTTTTTTTAATATGATCACAACTGTTCTGCTGCCCGAAGGTTCATGGAATTTTAGAAGTTTAGAAGAAACAAAGGAACTTTAGAAAAAACAACGATATCTGTCTCATCCTTTTTAGACATTCTAGTATATTTAAGAAACCTATTAGCTTGCATGGCATCTTGCTGACACAGGCTTTAAGAGAAAACCATACCCTCTGGAGTGGCAAGATAGTTTAAGATACCTGAAATGGCACTGAAATGGTATATCATTTGATTAAGCTATTAATGTATATGTATTTATGCATATGTATATTTTTTTATATACATTCAGTTACAGGGACAAACTCAGAATATCTAATATTCTAATATTCAGAATATATAATATTGTTTGGATAAGCAGGAACATTTTAGATTTAAAAAAGACAGGAAGAAAGAATTTAAAAGAATGTCCATGTGAATATATGTTCCTGTATGCGTGCAGAAATATAGGGGGGGAAATGAAGTATATATGAAGAAAAAAGAGAAAAAAACCAAGTGTAGCTCAAAGTTCCATGAGGGTTTTTTCTGACAGTTATTTTCCCCCTTTTTTTTTGTGCTACAGTTGAAGTCATTTAATACATAGTTTCTTTGGTAGAGTGTCTGTATTTCTGCAAGGTACTAATCATACCCGTGGGTAATATAAAACTAATACATAACAATCCTCATGGACTTGAGCAGAAAGGAATCATACTGCTGAGTATGAAATTCTCAAAGGAATGTGGATACAAGACAGCTATCACTATAGAAATAGTGAAATCCTTTGTTACATTCAGGAAGGACATTAGAGCCTAAGGTCATGTAAAAGAAAAGGCCCAGAAATCCTTTTGGAGACTTCTAGACTGCTGATATTATTTTGAAATGCTCAGTCTGTCAAACGTATCGATCAAAACATCCTAAACAACTATTACATTCTTTGCAAATAACACAAAGACCTTGGTAAAATGTATTGACTGACCTCTTTTACTTTGAAGTCACAGACACACTTTCCTCATGGTTCATGAGCTTTCTATTTACTTTTTCTTGTAAGACATATTGACAACAAACATTAACTCATCAAGAACAGGCCAGTGGTACTGAAGTGGGGATGAAATCCCCAAACAAATCTTTGTTTCCACCAATCTATGAACTCTGTGTGTGTGTGTGTTCATGTGTATGCATGTCCCTATCTATCTGTAACTCTACTCTCACTTTTGAAATGCATTTTAGCAATACTAGCAAGGTCAGATTAACTTCACTCATGCTTCATGCTATGTGTTCTGCACAGGTTCTGGCAAACATATCTGCCATAACTGAGACCCAGCACATCTCTTGGCTTTACCTGAGACCTTTGTGATGACAACAGCTGTCGCTGGTTTCTGTACAACTGATCTGCCTAAACTGGAAGAGTGGCCTCTAGGTTCTCCTTATGGTCACTATAATTAGTTTCAGTCCCATAAGAGAGCATTTATCCTAAGGTTGATCTTTGTTCTGTCTCCTTCCAGTGGCTTTATTAAAACTTCCCTCTGGAAATTTATCAACAAAAATGGCGGCATTATCTGTAACTTCTAATTACTGTGATGGCATCACAAGGAGTACTTTAAAGACATTAGACATTAAAATGCAGACCACGGTATCTGTTGAGCTTTGCTTTTGTAGGAATCTACACACAGTGGAGCCATGTCTAGCTTTAATCACTCTGACAATTTCTTGCAATGTTAAGAACAAAATATACTGATTTGACACTTTAAATTTGCTGAGTTTCTTTTGTTTTAAACAATCTTTAGTGCTTTTATAATTATTTTTGCACAACAAACCACCCCACAGTATTCCTTTAAAGTCTCCATGGCTTTCTCTGGAGCTTTTAGAGTCTTACTAGAAATGGCCTTGCTCTAGTTATTTTATTATCTTTTTGTCTCAACCATTTCTAGAAAGTCTGTCTCCAGTACCACAATTTTTGTCAAAGCCATTGCTTGTTGGTAGTATGTTGTTTATATTTGAACTGTGTGATTCTGGTAGCACCATTAAATGCTCGGTTTAGACATATTCCTATGGCATAGACACTTGCAGACATTAAATTGCTGCTTGACAAAAACACTTGTTTTTTAACCTAAAATTACATGCACAAGTTGTGAATCTTTAATTAAATGCTTTGCTTCTTACTCATGTTAAAATACAACGCAAAAACTTAACTCCCTTTCTGTACTGACACGATGAAGGAGATTATTTTGAAAAACACACTTAATAGTTAAATACTTTTAACAGTAAAATATAATCAGTAGTAATATCTTTCCACTGTGTTAAACAGTTTATTTCTGATAAAGCTTATTTATGAAATCCTGGAATCCTTCTTTAAACCAGTGTATCAATGTTAACCACATCAAAGCTGCAGAGGTTTTTTTCCTCTTCTTTCTCCTTCAGTTATCTCCTCTCTCCTGTAACAGAGCAGATTTTTTATAAGTAGGACTTCTAAAATTATTTATTTTAATTTCTGCTACTTACATTGTTTAATGTTACACCAAAACCATTAAGAAAACTGCATACTTCTAGCACACACAAGAGAGACATGACTTTGGAGTAACAGACAGATGCAAAATTTGAGGGAATAGTTTGTCATCTTGTGCTATAAAACATGTGTTTCCATTAAAAAAAAAAAAATCTCTATATATTAGAGCTACAAAGATATTCTTCTGCTTTGTGACAGCAGGGTACAGCCAAGGTGTTACTGGCTACAATTTAATTCATATAAGATCCCGATGATACTTTTACATTACCAGATATATTTGCAGAAATGATGAATGGGAGTCTTTTAAGGGAGGTTATAGATGTAGTAGTTGTAACTTGCATCTTTTCAATAGGTTTGTGTTTGATATTCTGTTATTACTGGTTGATTACATTGCCACACAAGCTGTAGGAATAGGGTAGAGAATCAAACCTAAAGTTGGAGGTTAAACCTAAAGTATGAAGGTCACATAGCAGTAGCCATAGACAGACCCTTAGGGAAAAGTAAGAAAAGCAAAACCATATTTGATATTCCCACCTAAACATTTTTCCATTCTGTGGTCATTTCTTGAGCTGGATTTTGTTTTGCACCTTTTGTCCCCCCACTGTTGGGCTTTTATTGGTTCAAGATGGTCTTTTTGAAGCTATGTAATTTTTGCATCCACAAGGAATTCTTGCCATGGAATTCAGAGGATTACTGTCTACTGACTGAAAAATCAATTCTTTTTATGCATTTAAATGACACCATGCCTTCCTAAAGATTTGTAAATGTTTCTTTCTGATACATTTCTCTGGTGTACCAATGTATGCCATTTTCCTTTCCAACATCATGGAGCCATTTCTGAGAAAACCTACTGCAGCTCAGAGTGAACAGCATATTAACTGCTACATCTCAATCATAGCCTTTGCCAATATTGCTTCAATATCTATGTTGGTTTCAGAGCATAGTCTAAATATATATTTTGGAAATTTTGTTCATTTTATGGAGAATATTTCTATTTTAGTTTTTATGTATTCATTGGCTGTGCATTTTTCATTACTTTTCCAGAGAATATTTAAAATCCTCAATACGATCATCAGCTGCTACCAGAGTGGTTACGTTTTTTCTTCTGGGAGAGTCTCACAGCTTTGGCTGGCGAAAGTACTCAGAATATACCCTCCTATGCATTCTGAGTCACAGCAAATTTTCTCACATGTGGCTCAGTAGAGCCTTAATTTAAAAGTGCGTAAGCTGCCACTAGAGTGTACTCAGTAGAAAAACCTCAGTTCTGAAACAGTGTGGAAAAATTGTCTTTAGTGATCTTCAGAAGAAGTTGTTGGAGAACGTATTACTACAGGCTTTCATTCAGGTTCAGCTTTGATAAGAATTGATCTTTGGAGGCAACACTACATATTCTGTTGCTCTTTGTTAACTCAATATTTTGTTGTTCTAGGCTAACTTCCATTAAGTGCTTTCTGTGTCTTTAAAGTCCAGATCCACACTGGATTTTAGGCATCTGGTTCTCATCATTTTTAATAGGATGCGGATTTCTCAGCCTGGTTATCTATATTTTTGCTAACGTCTATGGTAAAAATCACTGATGTCTTGCTTTTGAAAGATTTGGCTTTTCTTTACATGGAGAAAAATAACAATATTTTTTGTGACTTCAATACTTTAAGTACAGGTTTTTATGATTTCAATTTAAGACATCATTAGATATGGCAAAAAAGATTTAATGTTAGTCATCAAGATGTTTTAGAGGTTTTAAGAGGATAAATGAACTGTAAAATATGAATATATGTTATCCTTGGATCATACTGCTTGGTTAAGCTATTAATAACTGTTGCTGATTTTGAGGTAAAAGCAGTATCATCACTTCAGGTGCATGAAAGGTCAAAAAATGGTCTTTAGTTCCTCTAGTATACAAAAAATATAGTAAAGAATCCTAATTGATGGCAATTGTGTTTGAATCTAAAAAGCTTTTATAATTTCCCTATTGACTAAAAATATTTCAGTTTCTTCCTTTATTTTTGGGTGCATTTCTTCTAAATAATGTTAGCAGTTATAATATCTATGTTCCCCTGCAACAGCAGCTTTCAGCTTCCTTCAGTCTACAAACCTCTACAGAATTTTGACTGGATTTTTAATAAAAAAGTTAAACCTACTGACAGTTGGATTAGTGGATTTTTTTTCCTACTTGTCTTTCACAGGCTCCTTTTATATACTTCATAAGCTCTTTCAGGTCCATGATCACTATTTTTAAAAGCATTATTCATATTGTCCATAAGCTGAACCAAATAACTCAGTGCCATTCATTATCAAAATTTCAGTTTTAATTTCTGTGTCTAGGTACATAAAATGCTATTTAATCGCTTTTGTATGAGTCACAGTTTGAGATACGGGCCTGAATTCACCATCTGCACCTCCTATTTATTAGCTGTTTACACATGCACCTTCCACCAAGCATGCTTTTGGCATAGCAGCATTTTGGTTTAATTTCTTGTAGGATAATAAAGTAGTAAGCAAAAAATAGTCTTGGGAAAGAATTGGCTTAACCACAAAAAAAGTTTCTATTTATATTAAGCAAGGGCTAAAGGTATCTGAAAAGCTAGAGATCCCAAGATATTCTTTTCCAGTATGTGACACCTTTGATGATCAGTGTGTGAGTGTGCCAGTGCCTAGTGTGGCCCATACACAAGTGTCACAAGTTCTTCCATTGACCAATGTTTTCAGGCCTCTATGGAGACTGTATCAAAACTGCCAATGTCCCTCAGAAGCAGAGCATCTGAAATGGTACAGAATCAGGCCATTAAATCCTGCTTTAGCAGGGAAGTTGGACTAGATGATCTCTATGGGCCCTTCCAACTCTAAAAATTCAGTGAAATTCAGTGAAATCCCAATACTCGTTTAGGCACTAAAGGTTAGGCATAAAAGATTAGCAGCAGATAACAGGGACATTGATTAGTGTGCTTGATGAGGAGGATCATCGGAACCATGGTGGTGTCTAGGGGACTGGAAACGCACTGATAAGAAAACATGATGTTTCTTTGCTCATATGTGTAGGTTCCTACACAAGCAAAAGCTTTCATTTCTATTTTATTACTTTGTATTATATTGTCTTCTATTATATTTTCTATCATTTTACTTTATTCTCTACTTTCTATCTTTCCTTTTAGTCTTACTTTCACTCCCAAATGATAATTTACCTTCAGAGAAAATAGAAAGAAACAGTTTCCTATAAAACTTTGACTTCTTTGACAAGAGTTGATTTGGAGGCAGTACTTTATAATTATAAAGAAGAAAAAAAGGAAAAGATAAAACTAAAATCAATGCACAGAAAATATCTTAAACAAGAACACAGGTTTCAGTAACATCAGAGTCCTAAATCCAAAATGGCAATCTGAAAAACCCATCCTCATGAGCCATACAGTGATATGTTTTCTCTGTATACATTAGAAAGCATGTGTATACCTTACTCATGACTCTGGCTTCAACTTTCATGGCTGGGTATCTTGCCATTAGATGTTGCAGCATCTAAATTTTGATACCTAAACCTTATCTGTCTCTTTCTTTCCAATGGATAAGAAAGGGACCCCATTCAGAAGTATAACTTGTCTTTGGAATGCGTCGTAGAATTTTCAGATGTGCTCTCACATATCTAAGTAATTTAGTGGTGCAGTAAAAATCTGCAAAGTACAGTTAATATAACTCATTAATAGGCAGGACATATTTTAAGCTCAGCTAGCAGATTATGGTAAGGTTTATTCAGTTTAATTTTTTTTACTTTTTAAAGTAAAAAATGACAAGGCAAAAAGAAACACAAACATGTTGTGGAGAAAGTACCAAATTGCTACTCCTACATAATCTTATGATAATTATATGGGGGAAAATTGTCCTGGGATGTGTATTTATCTTTTACTCTTATAGTCAAATACACTTGTTATGCCATTATGTGCTCAGAAATTCCTTTATTATGTTGCTTAGCAGGATCATGAGAACTCAATAGTTTAATTGTGAACCATAAGAAACATTTCAGGGATGTTTATCAAAGGTAACTAAAAAAACCCATACTTTTTCATTTCTACATGATCAATAAGAGAAAAGTCCAGGTCAGAGGTAACAAGCACATTTTTCCTCTGATGATTATTGGGTCATCTGATGTCTTTCTACCCAATCTGAAATGTCAGGTGTCAATTTTTGGTGCTCAGTTTTCAAATTTACTGGACATTAACACCAACTCTCACTCTTGTTTTACTGCCAGCAAGAAAGTCATGGACCATATATGTGTTTGAATTAGTATTACGGTATTCCAAATCACCTTTTAAAGTGGCTCCTGTAGGCTGAGGAAAAGACACAGTGAGAGGAAGTCCATGATGTTAAATGTTATGTTAATCCAGGCAGGTCGGTAGAAGATATCAGTATACAGCATTTTGATACCTTTTGGAAGTTATATAGTCACATAATGTTGCAGATATTAAGGAATAGGAGGGGGAGAAGGGGAGAGAGGAGAAAACAAGCAAACAAATAAACCAAACCAAACCCAAGCTAAAATGCCAAAACCAGAAAAGCAGTTACAAAGCAATTTATATGATATATTTGGCTAGAAAGTACACTTATCAATATATTCAACCAAAAACTTGGAAGAAAAGAACTGAAGACAGGAAACAAAAAGCAGCTTAGACAGTAGATGTCAGAGACAGAGGCAAGTGAAGAAAATCTGTACCAATGCCTGTAGAACTCATCATGAGGCCCAGATGCTACTGCTAGAAGAATATCCTCCAGAGGCGGATATGCAAATACTGTGATGGCCAAGTGAAAGGGGTAGACAAGGTGAAACAAACAAACAAAGCAGGATGCATTTGTGCTTCTTTTTAAATATATATGGCAGGAAGTTCCCAACCTGTAGCCCAGCTTCTACTTGCAGCCCTTGAAGTCCATCCTGTTAAACAAAAAAAAGTAAACGTGGCTAATTTGACCACATTCATTGGGAATTATAAAGTTTCCTTTGCAATCTTTAAGAAAAATATGAAAATATATTATTCTATTCAGCTGTTTGGAAATGGGAGGGAGTGTGTTATGGGGTGTGACACAGTTGAACTTCGCTAAATGATTTATGCTGATTTAAAGATCCTGTGTGATGACTGTTACTGCCCTTATGCTTGCTGTACAGGCAGCAAGTTCAAAGTTACTGTGTACAACCCTCCTGACTTCATTAGGACCAGACCCAGGGATTGAAAAAACCTGGGGCCCTTCATCCTGGAGTCTCTTTGCAGCATTTTTGAAGACAATGACTCTTTTTGTTGTCCTAGATTGGAAACAGATATTTAGATGGTGCAATATTAGTGTATTATTAAATCTGGAAGGAGCTATACCAAAATTAACATTTCAGTTATATGAGCTCCTTGAAGATAGATTTGTATGGAAAAGATATTCTATCTTTCAACAATTAGCTGTTCAGTGATATCTGTGGATTTTATCTTCACTTCCTTTTTTTTTTTTTTTTTTTTTCTTTCTTTCTATATCATGCAAAATACTTAAATCTATCCAAACTATTTCCGCAGAGCTAGATCTGCTAAATTGGGTACAAAAGAAGCTCCATCATGCAATGCCTTTGGTTCTCATGGATCAAAGGGGATATCAAAGGGGATACCCAGTGCACAGAACTCAGACCATCTTTTCAGTCTACATGTGCTGCTCTCCTGCTAGAAGGAATCTTGGACTAGCTACCAAGCAAACCCCTTTTTATTTTCCCTTCCTTTTTTTTTTTTTTTTTTGGCGTGCTATGCAGTTACAGGAGAATAATTATAAAGTTCTTCTAGTTTTAGTAATACCATAGAGACTAAAAATTATGAAAAATTTTGGAGGCTGAAGATTTATTACAGAAAGAATCTGGATTTCAGTAAAGATATTTTTCAATTTCTGTTTACCTTAATGGCAAATTTTCAATCATGTTAAAAATCCAGTAATTCAATGATCAAGAAATACTACACAGATTCACCAGCTAGCTTAAAGCAGAAGCACTAGGTTCGCAATCTCTGAAACTTTTAAAATATGTGAACTTGAAGAAATGTCTACAGGTAACAACAACCACAAAGAGTATTTTATGTGCCAATGTCTATATAATTCATTGCCAGAGGGAAATGGTATAGTAATATAAATTCTAATGGCAATGAGCTTTTTCTGCTGATTTGATTAGAGATATGCTTCTGCCACCAGCTGAACATTTTTTTACTAACAAGCCAATGTTTTTCTCCTCTGTTTAGAGAATGATCAGAGATGTAAACACTGAGGATGTAAACAGAGATGTAAACAGTGAGTTCTGCATCCCAGCTTTTCTTCAGAAAGACGTGTCTGCACAAGGAAAGCTTGCTAATATATTTATTGTTTTAGTCAATGAATAAATGATCACCTTTTTCTAATTCTTCATCAATAAATTTTAAAATATCTTCCTTAGACTTTTTCAGGAAGTTTGTTTTTATTCCATATATTTGAAGGTCTTTGATCAATTGGACCTCTCCTAATTTCTGTTAAAACAAGTTGAGCTGATAGCAATTGTATATATATGTATCACGTGACAGAAATCACTGTACTGTTCAGTGCAGCTGATTTATTGCAAGGAATATGACTCTTAGTCCATTTAAATAGGAGTTTGCCAAATAAAATGCAAAATTATATGGTGTCCTGGTGAGGGCAGCAAAACATTCAACATACATGCTTTTAATAAGCCAGCTGCTGTTCTATGCAAACTAAATCTGAAATTGCAAATGACTGGAAAGTATGTTTTTTATTTAGGAATAGATGCTAGGAAGCTGTATTTTTTTCCATTTATCAATCACTGTTTGACAGAGTTTTATAATGTTGATAATAACTCCTATTCTTAGAAATTTTTCTTCAAATTTATATCCCAAAGTAGAATGGGTCTGAAGATCAAAACAGATGTTTAAACTGAAAGCCATGTACAATATTAATCTCAGAGGTGAGTGAAAATGATGGAAGCAACCTGAATTATTTTTTTTCTTTTGTATGGCTTGATATGTGCTATAAAAAAATACTAGAACTAGGATTGGCTAATTCTATTAAAAAAACACACTGTATTTTGGTGATTTAGACTACCTGCTAAAGTAAATGTTTGAACAATAATTATGATGGCCTGAGATTTCTGGAAAATATAAAATGAGGAAGAGCATAAGAAATAAATCTTAACAGCTAAGAAGCTGGAGGTAAGTAAAGGGAAATTTACTCATCTTCCTTTCAGGATCAATATTTTCCTTTTTAGTGATTATTTCAATAACTTCAACTCATGCCTTTTGATTTGAGGTAGAAACAGCTATTCAAAATGGGAGAGAGTTGCCAAATTGACAAATATTTAGTCTTATGCAAGACTAAAATGAATGGTTGCTCTTTCTTTTTCTTGAAATTAAAAAAAAAAAAAAAGGCATTTATGAGCTATATACCCATACTTTGTAAATATCTATTCATTTTGCCCATATGCTTCTGGCTTTGGCTTCCTTTTTGCCTGATTTGTGTCAGGAGCTGAACTACATATGATGGAAAAATGTTTTATGTTATATATTTGTGTCAAATGGAAAAATAATGTTATGTTTCATGCTGAGCAAAAAGCAGAGAACGTTTTTAGAGGAAATGTGGACTGTAATTATTGTTAAGCCTATTTGTTAGGTTTATGTTTGGAATTATTTCCAATATTCAGTCTCAAACTAACCTTGAATATTAATTGCACTTTATATTTCAAATCTGTCTGTTGCTCTGTATGATGTAAAAGTTTTAATTTTGCATGATGTGCTTTCTACTTAGAAGGAAAGCAAAGAAGTTCATATTTTAAAAGGATTGTTTTTAAAGACACTATTGTGAAGCTTGCCTTTCACAAATTACACAAACTAGTAAGTCATTTAAAATGATGCATGGTTATTCAATTCTTAAAATTTCACTGTGCAGGAGATTATTTGAGTATCTATTGCAAGGTTACTTCTCTCTCCTCTTTTAGTTTATCTAACAATGTAGAAATTAAGTGTTATTACATAACTCTCCTGAGGCTATTTTATGTAGGTGTGGAGATGAATAACCAAACCGTATTTTAAAGGTGTGCAGGTGTGAAATAAAACTTGATACACTCTGTGTTCTTTCAAATTTACTTTTGAAGTACTACATAACATGCTTCTTAAAGAAGGACATTAATGTTATTTGAAGAATTAAGACATTAACATTATACATATATAAATTAATAAATATATTGTCTGGTATAAAAAAGGATGAAGTTTAGATTTGTTATTCATATGGGACAATCTGCTGGCTTTCACAGTGTCAGATAAAATGCTCCAGATTAGTTGCTCCTCAACATAAAAACAGTGATATTTTTCTGACTGTTTTCTGATCGTTAAAGATTCACCGAAATCTTTAGTTGTAGGGCTTTCAGAAAAAAAAATATGAAATGTAACTAACCTAAAATATGTGGATTTTTTTAATGCTTGAACAAAAAAATCAAGAGATTAAGATGAGCACAGTTGCATAAGCACACGTAAAGGTGAAGTGCTTTGAGGGAGTCTTATTCATCCTCTTGTTCAGACTATGACCACTGTTGGATATCATTTAACTTTCATAAAGTGAAGAGTAAATGGATAGATGGACTTCAGGATAACCTATGCATTAGAATTTCTCTGTGGAAAAGATGATTTTTTGAGGAGGTGCCATGTGGTCTTTAGCGCAGAGTTTCAGAGAGGTGAGGGTACCAAAGGGATTAAGGTATGTTAAGAGGGGACAGAACCTTTGTTGGAGAGGGCTTATTTGCTCTTTGATTTTTGCGGTTGTAGTCTTCAGGCGAAGGAGAATGGTGTGAGGAAACAGGGAAAGAAAAAGAGAAATGTAAAGAAAGGGAAATTCTGCTAATGAAAGCAATGTTTCTATTCACAAGAAATAATAAATCTCCTTCCACTTTTCAGTGCCTTCTTTTCTTTTTTTCCCCGTGAAGGTCAGTGGCCAAGACTGCAAGCTAGCTTTTTGGGCTTTTTTGGAGGGAGATTAAACAAAAAGGAGAAAGGTAAAAGAAAATCATGGAACCTAAGAGAAAGAAAGAATTTGATTATTCCTATCTAACCTAATAGAGGGAGTGAAAAGTATAAATAGACAAAAAAAAGATGTCTGAAATCCTGAAAGAAAACAAAATTAATTCCCTCCTTCCTTCCTTCCATGAGTCGTCTGATTCTCCTCATTAATCATTCCGGAGGGAGCTTAGGCTGGCCCAACTGATATCATGTTGATATACATATCTTATATTGATAAACATAAGGAATATACTTTTGCCATAAGAATTACATGTATTGCTACCCTATTTCTTCTTCCAGAATGCAAACTTTTTTTTCAAAACTTCTGGAAGTGCCTCAGGCAGGGATTTGTGGATGATATATACAGTGATAGCAGTCAAAAGCCCAAACTCTACAATTCATGTTGGGATTTTACTTTTTCTCTATTTCCTTCTTGCCAAGGTTAAGTTGAATATGCATTGTTGGTCAGAACTGGAGCTAAAAGCTAGAGAGTAGCAATTACTGTTCTGTGGCCTGTATTATGCTAACTAGCGTTGCTAATGACAATGGGACATGCTCTTGAAATCTACCCAACAGTAAAATTGTCACCACAGGAAAATGAAAACATAGGGATGCAACAGACAGATAAATCCTTTTATTAAAATAATCTGCACATTTCTTTACTTCAGCTTCACCAGGTAGTATGATATCTATATTTAGGTCTTCGTTAGCATCCACGGGGAAGTAAATATTCCTCTGACTCACTGGATTAATCTCTGCTTGTTTTCTACCTACCTTCTTACTCTACTTTTTAATAAAAAATCCCAAATTTAATTTCGATCAGATTGCATATTTTACACTTCAGTAACTTGTTAATAATAAGGAATGTCTTTCTTTCCCCCAA